CGCTGCGACATCATCCACCCCGTTCCTGGGCGAGCTTTCCGGCACTCCAGCCACGCAGGGTTGGAATACCGGCGGCTGTGCGCCTACCACGCCCACCAGGTCTTCGGTGATTTGTCCACTCGGTGATGGACTCGGACGACGAGGAGGCGCTCACGGCGCTGCTGGAGGAGGAAGCCGATGCCGAAGCCCAGGACGAAGAGCATCTGATGGTCCTCGCCACCCTGGCCAGCCTGCTCGCGAGCAATGCAAATCCACGACAAGGTGGCTAGGCGCCGGACCGGCTGAAGGCAAAGTAGAGGCATCGACTGGAAAGCTATTGCTTGCTCTACTCCGACTACTTCGCCAACGCTCCACTGTACGACGACAAAGTATTTCAGCGCCGTTATCGGATGAGCCGAAAGCTCTTCCTCAAGATTGTGGATTCCATCCGTGAGTTCGACAACTATTTCAAGTGCAAGAAGGATTGCACGGGCACACTTGGATTCACCTCACTTCAGAAGTGCACGACAGCTATGAGGATGCTTGCATACGGAGCTCCCGGTAATTCATTGGAGACTATGGACGCATGGCCGAGTCCACGACCATTGAGTGTTTCTACAAGTTCTGCAGGGCAGTAGTGGCAGTGTTTGGACCGCAATACTTGCGATCACCCAATGTTGAAGACACTGCTCGGATCCTAGCACAGAATGCAGCAAGAGGATTTCCTGGGATGCTTGAAAGCATCGACTGCATGCATTAGAAATGGAAAAACTGTCCATTTGCTTGGCAGAGAATGTACAAAGGCGCCAAAGGCGGTTGCAGTGTGGTACTTGAGGCAGTGGCGCCACACGACCTCTGGATTTGGCACTCCTTCTTTGGTATGTCAGGAACTCACAATGACATCAACGTACTGCAGTGCTCCCCTGTCTTTGTCAAGCTTGTTGAAAGTCATTCTCATCCGTGAACTTCGAGGTCAATGGATGGCACTACAACAAAGAATACTACCTAGCAGATGGCATCTATTCGAGATGGTCCACATTTGTGAATACTATCTCGAGCCCTGTGCCAGGAGGCAAGAACTCCCACTTTGCCAAGTGTCAGGAGGCTTGCGGGAAGGATGTCGAGCGGTCATTTGGTGTGCTCCAATCTTGATTTGCTGTTGTCCGGTACCCCGCTCAGACCTGGTCGAAAGATCAAATGTGGGAGACCATGACTTGTTGTGTCATCTTGCACAACATGATCATTGAAAACGAGCAGGAAGAGCCAGTGTTTGACACTGAACTATATTACAGACGGGGTCCTCTTCCCCAAGTTGATCACCAGCTACCGGCAACCTGGACTGCCTTCCTCAATATGCGTCAGGAGATCCAAGACCCACGGGTGCACCAACAACTGGAGCAGGATCTGGTGGAGCATCTATGGAGGCTCAAGGGCAACGCCTACCTCGACGTGTGATGAAATATGAGTTTTTATTTGTTGAACTATATAGTTTGTATTGAACTATTTGTTGAACTATTTGATTTCTATTGATTTTCTGTGATGAACTATGTGATAAAAAATAGCTTCTGTTGAATTTGCGCCGAAGCACGCAGACTATGGGCCGAAATTGGTCAATTTGCATCGATAGTGGGCCAATTTGCGCCGATAATAGACTGAAAAGTGCACCAATTTGCGCCGAAAGTGGGCCGAAATCGGCGCTTGGGCCGACCTTGGGGCGGCGGTTGGGAACCCGATCGCCCCACGCCGATTTTTCAGCCAACACGCCCCCAGGCGGCGCTATTTTAAGCGCCTGGGGCCAAACGGCTGGAGATGCTCTTAACTGTAACAATGGCTGGAGTGGCGATATCAATATTTAGTTCTAGCATTACCGCGGACAAAAAAACACCTAGGGAAGTATAGAACACAATCGACATGAACCACCCAAAAAAATTATACAAGAGGACCTTTTTTTTCATTTCTGATGTTACAGAAAAAAGACATGTTGCAGGTTTATATTTTGGACCCTAATAAGTGTCACACGTGTGGCACGAATACATGGTAACTCCAAACGTTTTTACGACAAGTTTAGTGATGTGAGAATGACAATTTTAATTGTCAAGCATGACAACTTTCTTTTCGAATGACTAGTTCCAACATTTTTTGGATTTATTTTTTCTTTTCGGATGACAATTTTAGTTGTAAAAAACGTCAGGATGGGATTGCTTCAAGCCACACGTGTGTCACTTATCATTTGAATATATTTTCTGTTATTTCTGATGTTCCTTGTACTGCATGATATACAATGAATAGATCAAAAATTTCCCTATAAAAAAAGATTGGAAGTTTTTTTTTACCGAAAATTAAGAATGGAATGAAAAAAACGTCCCTCTTCGCCACGGACGGAGATGTACTCCTGTCGTCCACCACGCACAAAAGTTTTTTTTTTTTGGCACAACCAAGCACAAAAGTACATTGAAAAGCCGGTACACCCGGGCCGGCCTGTTCCTCTAGCCGTGCTCGTGAAGCCCATCAGTTTAGGCCCACCTCGAATAGGGTTTAAGCTTCCCCGGTCCCGCAGCTTCCACGAAGCCCCCGTCCGATCCAGCAGGCAAAACCCCCCTCACGCTCACGCGATGGGAGTCGCCGCCTCCGCCGCCTCCCCTCCCCCGGAGGCCGCCGCGCCCGCCGATCCACCGGCCAAAGAAGATATCGAGCATGGCTCTGCCGCCGCCGCCTCAGCAGCAGCAGCTGCGCCCCCGGAGGCCGCCGCGGCCGCAGATTCACCGGCAAAGGAAGAGGCCCAGTCCGCCGCCGCCGCCGCCGCCGCTCCCGGCGGCGAGGCGGACGCGGCGGGGGAGACGGTGGTCCTGGACGCCGCCGCGGAGGGCGGCGAGGAGGAGGAGGAAGGGGAGTGCGGGTTTTGCGTGTACATGAAGGGCGGCGGGTGCAAGGAGGAGTTCGTGGGGTGGGAGAAGTGCGTGGAGCAGGCGGAGGCGGAAGGCGGCTACGTCGTCGAGCGCTGCCACGACGCCACCGCCGCGCTGCGCAGGTGCATGGACAAGTTCCCGGACTACTACGAGCCCATCCTCCGCGCCGAGCGCGCCATGGCCGAGGATCTCGAGGCCTTCAAGGCCAGCGAAGCCTCCGAGCCCTCCCCCGCCTCACCGCCGCCCCCGGCGGCCGAGGAGGAACAGGGCGACGATAAGAAGCAGGCGGAGGCGGTGGTGGCGAAGGAGAAGGAGGATCTTGCGGCCTGATCCCGCGGCGCTGGTGTGGGATCTTGCGATTTTTTGGTGAGATTTGAGGCATCCTAGATGTGAATTATTTTGTTTTACCTGGGGCGTGATCTGCAAGGTGGGAGAGGGTGGCCTCTGGGAATTATACACTTGTTCACGAGTTCTAGCTCGTGAACTAATATGGAGAAGTGATCTTGTGCTGTAATAATAATCCAATGCATCGATACTGATTTGACACGATTAGCTCTCGCGCTGATCTTATTCTTCAAATTTGTAACGCCGGTCATGCGTGTCAAACAATTGACAAGAAAGTTCGTCCAGTAATCAGTTCGCCAATCAGTAACTGAGTGAGCACTAATCTCCTCCGTTGTTAGATGCTGGTTTTGTTCATGGTGCTGGAGAGATTTGCCACTCTTATTTGACTTGTCTTAGAGATTTGTCAGCGAATTTTGAGCAATGTAATGTAACATTATAGGGGTTGCCGTTTAGTGTCTGAATCAGCGGTGCTGAGGCTGTCCATACCGTGTTCCGTTCGGTATATGTTGGTTCCAGCCGGCCTCATTTTGCCTTACAACAGCAAGAATTTACTGACACAGTTATAAATCGCCATTTCATCGACACTGCTGGTGTTAGGGCATCTCCAGTCGTTCGGCCCCCAGGGCGCCTAAATAGAGCGGCTTGGGGGCGTGCCGGCGCTAGTTCGGCCCTTGGGTCGCCCCCAGTCACGCCCCCACGCGCCGGCCCCAGGATGCGGGAAATTTAAACTTGGTCGTTCCCGCTCTCAATAGACGCGCAAATCCGGCGATCGGACGTAGTCTGGCGTTACAAAAAACAGAGCGTCGCCGCCGCAAGTTCGCGTGCGCAGTGATTCACTTGGTGGGGTCGGCTCCAGGCGTTGGCGGAGTCGGCGTGCACGGGCTCGTCGGTGTCGGAGCTGCTTCGGTGCTGGGCTGCGTCGGCGCGGCTTCGGCACTGCTGGGCGGCGATGTAGAGGCGTCGTTCGGGCTTGGCGTCCGTGTGGTCGCGGGCGTCGTCGGTGTCGTCGGCGTTGCCGCCGGCAGCTCGTTCAGGATGAGGCCGCGTTGCATCAGGTACCACGCCTTGAGCTTCTCGTCGTTGCTCTGGAGCATGTCCGCCCCGCCCATCAGAAAAGCCATGTCGGTGTTCCTCTTCTTCGCGGCGACGTTCGTCCGGAGCAGGTCGAGCTTGATGGCGTTGTTCTTCATTAGCGACGACCACCGCGCCTCGGTCTTCTCTTCGCGTAGGACGGCCCGGGCCTGGGCGTCGGCGAGGCAATGCTCGATGGACTCCTGCACTCGCGCGGTTGCCGCGTCGGCGCTTTTCCCCTTCTTTGCCAATTTGTGGCCGTCCGACCGCCCCTCTGACGCGCCCGGAGTCATCGCGTCCGGCTTGTATGTCTCCTTGGCCTTGTTGAGGGCACGACGGACTTCCGCCCACTTCTCGCACTTGTCAATGCGCTTGTAGACGTGGAGGTGCTTGAAGTCGGCGTCTTGGTTGTCGCCCCGATACATGGCGAACATACGCAGCAGCTGCGTGGAGGGACGAACAGTTGGCGGGCGCCGGGCGTAGGGGACGAAGATATGCGGGCGAACGGCGTGCGTACCTGATCCTCAACGCTGGCGCCGCTCTTCGGGCGAGCCGCGACCTCCTCGACGATTCCATGCCATTTATTGCACGCCAACTAGATACGCCCCCAATGGTTCGCTATCGTCTTGGAGCCGCGCTGCATGTAGACGCCTTTGAAGTAGGGGTCGACGAGCTTCCGCTCGTCGAACTCGGCCTTGATGCGGTCCCAGTACGTCTCCAAGCTCTGGTTCGCGCCGATGGTCGGGTCGAGGCAGACGACTTTCCATGCTTTGGCGAGGCATTTCTCCTCCTTGGACGTCCACTTGATGCGCGGTTCACCTGACCTAGCCGCCCGCTTCTTCTTCTTCTGGCGCCCCTTCGTCGGAACAGGAGCCGGCTCCTCCTCCTCCTCCTCCTTCTCGTCCTCCTCCTCCTCCTCCTCCTCCTCCTCGGGTTCCTGCGCGTCGTCGCCGTAGACGTAGCCGAGCTCGGCCTCCATGTCGCCGCTGAGGTCCACTACCTCGTCCTGGGTGGCGAACCCGGGAGACGCGGCAGCCGCGGTTGATCCTGTCGCGATGATGTCGTCCATGTCGGCTCCCGTGTCGTCGGCGTCACCGAGGTGCGAGAAGGGTAGCGGTCCACGGTAGAGATGGGGCGTCGGTGTGGACGCGTAGGCGGCGGGCGGCGAGTAGTTGTATGGAGGGTACTGCACGCCGACGAAGGCGGGCGACGGCGTGCGCGTAGCGGGGTGACCATGAGGGAAGGTCACGTTTGGGCTGAACCCACCGTGCGCGTCGCCGTCGGCGTAGCCGGGCGACGATGAACCCCATGGAGATCCGGCGCCTTGCTGTCCCCAGGGCGCGTACTGGGCGTGGCTGACGACGGGTGGATTCATCCCCGCTTGGTCGACCGATGAGGAAGACGCCGCCGTGCGCGCCGCGTTGTCGCGGGCCTTCTTGGCTATGGCCCTGTTCCGCCTGTCGGCGGTGACTGCTTCGCGCCGCTGAACTTCCACCCTCCACTCGGCGTTCGACAGGCCCGGTGGCTTCGATGGCGGCGCCCTCGGCTTCCTCTGCTTCGGCTGGGCCACGGCGCCAGTCGCGGTTGCCGCCGCGCGCGGCATGGCGTACTTCTTCGGCGGCATGGCGTACTTCTTCGCGGCGAGCGGGAGAGGGTTTGGCGGGAGAAAGGGAGAGAATGGCGGGAGGAAGGCGAGCGAGCGGGAGAGATGCGAGGGAAAAGCGTCAAGAAACGGCGGGAAAAGGCCCTCAGGTCGCCTCCAGGGCGGGCCCATGCGCCTTTTTCGCTTGTGCCGGCTCCCCAAGCGCCCCCAGGGCGCCGGGTTGGGCCTGGGTCCGCCGGCACCAGTTTTGGCCCGAGCCGGCGAAAAACGGGCTTCTGGGGCGCCACTGGGGCCTTTTTTTGGCGCCGGCGCGGCAAAATCGTCTGGGGAGGGCCTGTTGGGGACGCGGCTGGAGATGCCCTTACCCTGTGCATTTTGTAAATTTACAGTTGAATTTGAGAATTGCAGCCTGTTTAAAGTACATTTGAATTGAAAGTTTCAGCTGCGGGGTAGCTTGTAAGGTTCATTCAGCAGTACACCCTCTGCTCCTAAATATGAGACGTTTTGTCAGTTCAAATTTAAACTGTAAAAGCGTCTTATATTTAGAAACAGAGGCATTCCTCCGATTCATGGTACAACTTCTAGTATTTTTTCAAAAGATTAACTGAGTAGCAGTACCAGTTCTGCGTTTCTAGACGCTGGATTTGTCCGTTGTTGACCAACATGCAACGTGTTGTGAGTTTTGTTCATCGACGCTGTTGTTGACCAACCTGCAACGTGTTGTGAGTTTTGTTCATCGATATGTTGGACGGCTGGACACAGTCAAGTTACAGCCGGCCTCATTTTGTCTTGCACGGCAAGAATTTCCCTAAATCCCTACTTTTTTCGCCTCACTTGAACGATGCAAATTGCTCACATTGCTGAAAATAAAATAATCATCCTGGCTTTCATACCAGCCAGTGAATTGCTACAAAAACCGGTACAAGAGCATACTATTGCAACACAGAGAGAGTGGCAAACGCAAGTTTAAACAAAGTAGAGAAATATTTTTGGAATGATAGGTTTAGTTTCGGCAACATTTTCCATCCGAACATCATGGATACTTGTAATGTGAGGGAGGGTTACAGAAAGGGGTTCGGGCGCGGCACACAAGCCATAAAAAAACTCAAGCATTAACCTACGACGCTAGTGTACTGGCAGCAAGATTAACGGCGGGTTTCTGGACCACCCGTATAACCCCCGACCCATCAGCACCATCGTTTCCAACCCTCCATGATCGATCCTTCTTCCTCTGGGGTTTCCGGTGGTGCTTGTGGGATGCTTCTTTCTTCTTCTTCTTTGTGGAACCCTTGGTCATTTGGCCATTCATGTCAAAAGATGCAAGGTCGTTTAGGGCATGACTGATGTTAGGTTCAGCTCGATTGATTTCCTCATCATCTTCATCAGAAGCACCATCGTCTGATTGATCAGCTGCTGCAGTGCTTGATCCTTCTAGGTCACTGTTGTCCTCTGCATCAGTTTCATCGTCTATCTCACCAGGAGGAAGCTCAAAGTGCGGAATCTTTCCATCAATGTAATCCTTCAGTATCTGCCGAGCAGCCCTGGTCTCATCAGGCAGCCCAGCATGGCTGACATGCCCCCGAGATGTGCAGTACGCCATCAACAACTCAGCGGCGGTTGGTGGTCGAGATGCTTCTTCATATGCCTTGGGCTTTGGCAGGGTGATTTTGTAAACCTGTTCCAGGATATTTCTTGGCACACGATTTGCTACCACTTGAATTGCTCCTCTGTGCTTTGTCATTCTATCAATTGGCAAGACACCACACGCCACCATCTCATGCCTCGAGCTTGAAAAAGAAGGGAAGACCAGACCAGGACAATCACACAGCATGAGCTCTTCTGAGATTATCAGTGTCTGGAAATGCTTGGTCTTGCCAGGTGTAGATGTTACACCAGTCTTCTTCTCACCGACCAGAGCATTGATGGTTGAACTCTTCCCAACATTTGGATAGCCAACAAATCCAACAACCACACGCTTGGGTCGCACCAAGGCAGAATCAGAACTAGATTCATGTTCCTCTCCAGCAGCGGATGTACCCTTTTGGCTCACTATATACTCCGCTTCGCCCTGCAACCTCACCAGGAGCTCTTCCCGGCCATATATCTTTGTATCAAGATCTGTATCTGATTCTTCCATGGTTTGGCTGCTCAATTTTTTCCCTTCTAACACTGCGGTAGCAGCTTTAGCAGACCAGAATAGATAGAGAATATCATGTTCCTTAAAGTAATCTGCCCATTTCCGCCTGCATTTTTTCCAAATTGAGAAAATGTCATGCATCACAGCAGACACCAAAGATACCTGGAAATCAAA